CTCTCCCTGCTCCAACTCCTCTCCTCCCGCCGGGAGCTGGGGTGAGAGGCGCTCAGGTTCTGCCGGGCCACAGCTTGTATCTTACCCCCTTTGTGAGGCTCTTGGTTCTTGTAGGTGTAGATGTAGCCTGGCTGTTGTCCTGTATCTTCTGGTCTCTCTTTTAGGGATAGTTGTGTTTGTTGTATTTTCAAAAACATATATGGTTTTGGGAGGATATTTCTGCTGCTCTCCTCATGTTGCCAACTTGGCTCCTCTCCCTCTGTTATATATTTTTTACAAACTTTTTTAAGAGAAATATTTTTAATTGTGACATAATTCACACACCATAGAAGTCATCCTTTTAAAGTGTATAGTTTAGTAGTTTTTAGTATACTCACAAAGTTATTTTTATACAACTATCACCACTATCTAATCCCAGAAAATTTTTATCACACCAAAGAGAAACCCCTTACCTATTAGTGGTCGCACCCCATGCACCATTCCCCCAACGCCATGGCAACCACTTATCTACTTTCAGTCTCTATGTATTTGCTTATTCTAGACATTTCATATAATAGAATCACATAATATGTGGACTTTTGCATCTGGCTTTTTCCAATTAGTATAGTGATTTCAAGGTTCATGCATGTTTTAAGATATATCAGTACTTCATTTTTACATCTTATTAATGTTCCAGTGTATGTATATATCACATTTTGTATATCCATTCATCAGTTAATGGACATTTGGGTTGTTTCTACTTTTTGGCTATTATGAACAATGGTGCTATGAACATTCATATACAGGTTTTTGTGTGGACATATGTTTTTGTTACTCTTATTGCTGAGGAATTGCTGGGTCATATGGGAACTCTATGTCTAACATTTTGAGGAATTGCCAGACTGTTTTCTAAAGCAGATGTACTATTTTATATTCCCACCAGCAGTGTATGATGATTCCATTTTCTTCACATCCTTAAACACACTTATCATCACCTATCTTCTTGAATACAGGCATCTAATGGACATGAGGCAGTATTCATTCACACTCTGATTTGTGTTTCCCTGGTGGCTAATGATGTTGCGCCTCTTTGCACATGATTATTGGCCATGTGTATATCTCCTTTGGGGATATATCTATTCAAATCCTTTACCCATTTTCAAATGAGGTTATTTGTCCTTTTTTATGAGTTGCTAGAATTATTTACATATTTTAGGTACTAGTCCCTTATCAGATACATGATTTGCAAATATTTTCTCCCATTCTGTAGATTGTCTTTTCCCTTTCTTGACAGGATCCTTTAGAGCACAAAAGTTTTTAATTTTGGTGAAATCTAATTTATCTGTTTTTTTCCATTTGTTGCTTCTATTTTGGGAGTCATTTCTAAGAAATCTAATCGCCTAATTGAAGATCAGAAAGATTTATGCCTTTGTCTTCTTTGAAGAGTTTTATAAAATTTGTCCTTACAATTGGGTCTTTGATCTACCTTGAGTTAATTTTTGTATATTGTGTCAGAGATCCAACTCTTTCTTTTGCTACATACAAAAGGATATCTAACAGTTTTAATATCATTTGTTGAAAAGAGTCTTCTTTACCCCACTGAATTGTCTTGGCACTCTTGTTGAAAATCAATTGATTGTAAATACAATGACTTACTTCTGGTAGAGAAATATGCTTGTGTTATATCTTTAACTACATTCTTTCCCATTTGTTGAGCTGTCTATCTCAGGAACCCTAATTATTCATATGCTGGATCATCTTTGTCATCTCTGATAGCATTCATCTTTGTCTTTTATTCTGCATTCATTATCGTGCCTTTCTTCATAACAGCAATTCAATTTTCAATAGTGTCTATTTTGTACATAGTTCTAATTAAGTCCATAATAATGATGGTCTTCAGTTTATTTCCTGAGATCACACGCCTTTTCCAATTCTATTATTTTACTGTCTTGGTTTTTATCTCATTGAACTTGTATTTTTATTCTTTTGTAGAATAGAACATTGGTGAAGAGTTTTCTTCTGTTCCCCAAGCTTGTTTTCTTCTCAGCTGCATTCTCTGCCTTTCTGTCTCCTATGTTCTGTATTACTTTCCGGCTATTTAGCTTCATTTTGTTTGGCTGCTGCATGTTTGCATGATCCATGGTGTTTCTCTGCCTCATGTCCATGCCTGATTTTTATGAGGGTTACTTCCATGTCTTTCCCATTATGTCAGAAGCTCATTTGTTTGCCTGACTCTTTTACAGTTTGGGGCTTGAAGTGATTGTTACATCATTTCTTCTGTGAGGGAATGTGAGGCTGGAACAGTGTGCACTCTTCATTAGTATCCCTCCTTTTAGCATAAGCTACTTCTGTTGAGATGATATTAAAGATCCTTTACCAGGAACATAGGACATTTAGGGTGTGTCTACCCTTCTTTTGTTCCCAAACCTTTGGGCTTTGAACAGTTTCCCCAACTCAGTGTAGAGCCCTTGACCCTTCCTTTCCATCTCAGAGTCAGCTCAGTGTTCATATTCTTCCATTTTCTCTCCAAAAATGATTCCATTCTTCCTCATTCAGAAGGTAAGGGCCTTCATTTAGTTCTCTTCTCCCTGTATTTGGAGGATTTAGTGAGACATTTCATGACTGCATTGATTCCACAGTCCTGCTGCTGGAATTAAAGAGTACAATAAGGGTACTTTTCTTGTGTACCTTGCCACTTTGATCCAGAATCTCCTCCTAAGTTTGAATTTCAAATGCAGAACCTTCATCAAATACACTTAAAGAAATTTCCTTTTTCGTGATTAATGTAGCTACCTGCCTAGCAGTAGTTTGCCCATTACCCGTGGCAAGTGACTGCATATTTCTGCAGTCTGCAGTATTCCATCCTTGATGCTATCTCACTCATCTGCTCCTCTTTTCTGTTACTGACCTAGAGGTGAGATAATTAAAGAAAAAAAAATTCATTGGCTGAAAGAAAGCAGCTCCTAGGGTTGGGTCCAAAGTGAAAATGGGTCCCTTACTAGGTTAGAAACATGGATGTTGTTACAATTCCTGGCTGCGAATACTCATAGTTTTACTGTTGAACCATTTTATGCTAATAAATTCTGTGGGACATATCTATCCTCTTTTAGTTTATTCCTTCTTTTTCTTCCATTTCAACTTATAACCACTCCTCCCAACTACCTACATTTCACAGGTAAACTGTTTATATAATATTGGCAATTTTAAAGCTTTCTTGTATTTATTATCTTTGGGCATTTAGCTGAAAGCATTCCCTCAATTTTACAAGTAATAGAGAACAAATTCAGAGACCCTTGTACTGGTAATTGGCAACAAAAGTGCTGATGCTTCAACAACAGTGTTTGTAAGAAAATGCCAATTTTTAGGGTAAAAATTTCATTAGGAGTTTTCTTTGGGAAACATAACATTAGCTAATGTTTGCAGATGATTGCCACTAAAAAAAAGACCTTGGTGAAGGTACCTCCACTGAGTCCATTTTAAAAGTGTTTCACTTGGTATCCTGGTTTTCATTTGTTAAATTAAAGGCCACCCATTAAGGTCTCCAACTATGCTTGAATTGGTTTGAGACCCAGTGAATAATTCTCATCAGCAAGTATCAGTGGAGAGTGGGCAGTGCAGTTAGAGGGAAAAAATGTTGCCAGACCTTGGGGATGGGGAAAAAAAATTACAATAAATATCAAGAGACTGAAAAAGAGGCTTTCCAAGGACTGTTCATGTTTATTGGTTTATGTAACTAGGTATTCAATGTATATAGAAATTCAGCAACTATCTTTTAAAAAACCCACTTAGAAGAATATTTCTTCTATTTTAAGTCTAAAATAGGTGTCAAGGAGGCCAGGCAATTTCCACATTTCTTTGCTTAATGTTTAGAACAGGGCTATGCCTGGAGCAGACATCCAATAAATACAATTACTAATAATAATGACTGAGCTACCTTATTAGTATAGAATAATTCCAGGGGCTCCCCCCACACCCCGGTTGTCTGATCCCAAGGCTTTTATGTCTTTTATTCCCTGTTTCTATGTCAGAAAATCACTATTAGAAACTCTGGAGTAAATCGTAATATATTAATTTGATACATGTTTTAAAACTTACCTTCGACATCATGAAATAATCTCGCGAGTGAAAAAGCCCACTGTTTAATCTTAAAGAAAACAAAGCAGATGTCACCGGTTAAGAGTCCAGTTGACCAGTAACATTTCACAATTTGTACCAACAACAGGGGAAAGGAGCTTAGTACGTCACTCTTAAAAGACCATCCAGCGCCAAATTTCCAAATTGCGTTTCAAAACTCAAATGCGTTTTTGATGAAAGCCCTCACTTTTCTTCCCTTTCACATCAATTTCTCCAGGGTCAAAGTTCTGGCCACCACAAATACCATCCTCCTAGACAAAGGGACTCACATAAGGGCCATTCGTGTTAACAGTCCCTCCGACAGAGACCAGAGGGTTATCGTTAGGTGGCAGGTACGCTGGACACATTTTCACTAACCAATGCGAGTTTCAAGTCATATTAATTGTCTTGCCTTAAAAGCGTAAGAGTTGATTTCCATGTCACATCTCAACCTAGTCCCTTCCCAGGCGAGGCCACTCGGTTGCTCATCTTTCACAGGACAGGGGACCAGAGTACTTCGGGGGCAGTGTTCCCTTTGCCCTAAGAGGTGAGGGCTGACCGGGCGCCCATACCATTCCTCCCCCGTCCAGTTTCCAGCTGCGCGCAATCGCCTGCTTTCAGACTTGGTTCATTCCTCAGGGACCTGAGGAGTCCAACCTGCTCCCGCCGGCTGGCGCGGGAGGGGCTCGGGAGCAGGGCTGCAGTGCAGCCCAGGGCACCAAGTTGCCCCAACCTTCCCGAGCCCCGCCGCTTGCTGTCCGCCGCTCAGCCCGGACTCCTCTCCAGGCTGAAGGCCGAGCTAGGGAGCGGGGCGAGCGCCGTGACGCAGGAGGGATCCGGCCAATGGGAACGCCCCGCGGCGCCAGCCCCGCCGCCCGCCTATAAAGAGAAGTCCTGGGGGCTCTCCAGTCTTCGCTGAACCGGGCTCTGGGAGTGCCGCTGTTTGGTAGCTGCCTCCCTCAGGTGACTCCGGCCGCAGCGAAGTTTAATCACAGTCCCTGACGCGTCCCAGGGTCCCTCCTGAGCTGCAGCGGGGGGTTCCATGGAGAAGGGCCCGAGGCGGGCGTCGGCGAAGCCGCGGGGCGCCAGGTGCAGCAATGGGTTCCCTGCGGGGGAGTCGCCGCGGCCGGGGCCGAGCCCGCCCGCCGAGGAGCCGCCGCGGCCGGAGACCAAGAGCGCCCAGCCGGCGGACGGCTGGAAGGGCGAGCGGCCGCGCAGCGAGGAGGACAACGAGCTGAACCTCCCCGACCTGGCGGCCGCCTACACGTCCATCCTGCGCTCGCTGGGCGAGGACCCCCAGCGGCAGGGACTGCTCAAGACGCCTTGGAGGGCGGCCACCGCCATGCAGTTCTTCACCAAGGGCTACCAGGAAACCATCTCAGGTCAGTGCGCCCGCCGGCCGGGTCTGCGCTGGGGAGGTGGCCGCGGGAAGCGCGCGCCGGCTCCGGGAAGTTTCCGGACTTGCCTCACTCTTGGCAGAGGGACCCGAGTGCTGCCACCTTCCGAGCCCCGCCCTCGGCCCTGGCCCCGCTCTCCCACCCAGGCGGGGGCCCTGCGTGGGATGCATTTCGGGCGCCCTGGGAATCAGCCGCATCTCCACCCGGGGACCCGCCGCAGCCGCTCTCGCGGGGTCCTCCCCTCCTTCCTCCACGCAGCGCGTCCCTCCGGTTGATAGGACTACGGTCACCCTGCACCCGCCCGGGTGGGAACCTGGAGCCCCTTTTCCCAGAGTGCCCGGGGCTAGATGCTTGAGGCACGTGCTAGACGGACCCAGACTTTGCTGTGATAAGGATCACTTGGCTGTTTTGGGGCGTGACGGCTTCTTCCGTCGCTCCTTCTTTTGAGGTCTTGTGTTTTTGGCTTCATGCTTGGAGCGTCTGGGGTGAACCTTCGCCGCAGTCAGGGACCCACACTGTCACTGACCTGCTAGGGCACCCGGGTCTTCGGAAAGCTGTAATTATCTTTTGTCCATATCAAGTTCACTCCAGGTCAGGTCTTTTCCAGGATTTGACACAGTTCTGGGCACCGGCTTCCCCAGAGTTTGACGTGTGAGTTTTCTTTGGCTAGTTTGTTGCTTTAAAAACCCAAAAGCGCTGCACCTACTCCCGGGGTTCGCTGGGCCCTCTGTATCATCCCTGTCCAAACACATCCCGAGTAAGCTGAGATGGACCAGTGCTCTCTGCAAGGAGAGTCAGGCATTCACCCGGGAGGCAGGGAAGCAGTGGGGATGGGGGGAGATTAAGTGGAGAGGGGTGGAAAATGACTTGAGGATTTTATTGCTTATTTACTGGGTGAGCAGTGTTGGTCTTACTTAAAAAAAAAGAAAGAAGAAAAGCTGACAGACAGCTGGGCCAACGAACGTTGTCTTCTAGACCACATCTGTGCTTCTTGGTGATATTTAATTCTTGGCCTAAGAAGCCTTCTGCCTTCACCATTTCTTAAAGGAAAAACAGTGCTGCTTTGCAAGGTAACCTTCCTGCCTCAGTTATTTCTCTAATCGAGTATCTGGTGACTCCCAGAATAGGTCCAGGGAAGAGCAAAGTTTCTGCCCAGTCCTCCACAACCCAAAGGAAGGGTGGGAAATCAGAGTGTGAGAAGGGGTGGGCCCCAAAAGGAAATGATGCTACATCCTACAGCCAAGAAATGGACTTCTAGTTCTGTGTCCAAGTTCACTTTTTTACTCCTTGATGGTAAAAGTTTGGAGCCTCAAAAGCAGAATTTCAAAACGCAAAGGTTGAAGAATAGACATTCTTACATTCTTCATTGGGTGAATATTCTATCATTTGGTGGTATCCACAATCTAAGGGAGAAACACCTCCTTAGGGCTTTACTCATTCTGCCTCCTGTGGACACTGAAAGTGGTCTCCACCGCTCTGGCCAGGCTTTGGGAATCTTGCCCTAACAGAATTTACAGGAGAGAGATTTCTGACCCCAAGAGAGGTCACAGAATTACTGAAAGTGGTTCACAAGGTTTACTTAAGAAGTAGTTAGACAAAGTTTGGCTCATGAGCCAGAGGACTAATGACTCCAAAAAACACTTCATTCTGCCTAAGAAATCTGTTCTAGTCAAGTGTTAACTTATAATTTAACAAGTCCAGGGACCTAGAGAGAAAGCATATTAGGAGTTGCCAGGGGCTGAGGAGGACGGTGGAGTGGGGAGGGTAAGCTCAATGGGCATAAGGTTTCCTTTTCTGGATGATAAGAATGTTTTGGGTGGTGATGGTTACCCAACATTCTGAATGTACCAAGTGCCACTGAATTGTACACTTTGAGATGGTTAAAATAATGAATTTTATGAATATTTTGCCACAAAAAAAGTCCATGGATCATTTAAGAATTATTACTAGCCATTTTAACTGGAAACTTTTTATACTTTTAGTACCTTACGTGGATGATCTTTGTTAATCTTCAGTTTTAAGGTGAACACTGTTCTGTTATCCCCTTGACAAAGAAACAGGGAACAGAGGTTGACAGCTTCAAGAGTTGGCTTTTGAATCCAGGCAGCCTGAATACAGAACTCTTAGCTCCTTCCTTATGCTGCCACTTAGATGTATGAGTGTACGTTATATACTAAGTATTTCAAACTGTGAGTTGTGACCGAATAGTTGGATCACCAGCATAAAAAAGAAATCAGTCTATCAAATGTAGTGAGGGTAAATGTTTTAAGAAACTTATGTGTAGGTTTTATAGGTTTTGGATATTGGACTTGTTTCAGATGTACAATGTATTTCTTACCGTGGGTTGTGGTGAAAAGTTTGAAAGCCTGTATCTGGAGGATCTTGCTTAAGGACATAATAATGATTTCTAGAAGTACATAGTTGCAGAGAAGATGGAATAGAGCAACCAAGATGATGCTAAATTTAAAGGAATGAACCTGAAATGGTGGTCCAGACTTTGGACCAAACTGATTGGGAGAGAGAATGAAGGATACTTTAAATCTGTAGAAAACATTGAAGAGAGTAATAAAGAATACCATCCTGCACAATCCCCAATTTATTTTCTTTAGAGAGTATAAGTCAATGACCACTATAGATTGTTTTGGACAGAAAAACACTTCTTTGAAATTGTCATTTTTCTGTTCTTATAAACAAGATACTTTGTATCTTTTCTGTCTCTGTATATTGATTCCTGGTTAATAGTGTGACTTAAGTGTTGTAAAATATAAAATACGTTGTTACCTAACATTTCCCTTTTTTCAGTGCCTCCTGAGTGGACTGATGCTAACTTCCCGTGTTTTGGGGAATTTGTCAGTTCTCCCTGCACTTCAGCCTGTCCGCATGGTGCACCTTTCCCCTCCTTTCCAGTGTGTACCTTACTATGGGGGCATATGAGATCACCCGTGATGGGGGCCCTGTCAGGGTTGTGCAAGCCTCTTGGTTACTGTTCACCACTGAGCTGTAGCTTGTAGACTGGGAGGGAGATCTGGAAGATCTATCACCTCTCCCAGGAACTGTCTGCCCTTTGAACCCAGCATCATAGGATGATCCTTGGATCAGCTCATGTTTATCTGTTGCTGACCCATTGTAATTTAACCACACCCTAGTTCTCTTACATATTCAGGGTTTTACCTTGATGAGCTTTCTTTCTACGTAAGGAAACTTACCTATATTTCCATTATTCTTTTATTCAGAACCTTAATTAAATCAGAGGGTCTACTCTTCCCTGAGGTTCTTGGTGTTCATGCTCTGTGTCTGACCCCTCCTGTTCCCTGACCTTGCCTGGGTGTAAACGGGAACAGCCTATGAGATAGCATTACCTACTAAAGGTTAAGTGCATATTACTTGTCTCTTCAGTTGTCTTCTTTGTGAGTTTTTGGGAATACACAGGGTCTTGGCTCTTCTGTCACATTGTTAGTTAAAGTAGGTTTTAACTTGTCCTATCCAGGATGCCAAGACAGTTTTCATAAATCAACTTGACAGTCCCAGACTCTGGGGAGCATGTGAGTGTGTAGGTAATGCAGCATGCGGAGACAACACTGTAGGTGGAGTTCCTGACTGCCTTCCTACCAGAGTTATGGAGTCATGTCCCTGCCTCAACTGTTTTCACTGCAAGGTGATATCTCTTCTCCAAAGATAATAGAAGGCAGTTAGATACCTTTATTCATACCAAAATGAGTCTTAGCAACTTCATACTGAAATATGCTAGCATTCACAGAAGGTTTTCTTTTCTTTTTTGAATTACAAACTAAGTGATTTACCAAATCAGGCTGCTGTGTGAAGGGGGCCTAAAAGTCAAATTATTTACTATCCTTTCCCATATTGTGGGTGAAAGATGACTTTGTGTCCCAAGTTTTAAATTGTATTAGAATTAATCTCATCATTGAGGCACTATTTTGGATGTGTGTCGTTCACTTAAATCTTGATTCACTAATATGTTTTGTTTTAGTTAATTTTGCTAATAAATACTTAACGTAGAACTTAGTTCTGTTTATTGCTGAAAAGAGAACTGTGAAAAAGAAGGAAAAATAATAAGGCCATTGAAGTATTTGACTGGAATTTAGGAGTAGTCAAAGTTGATTAAAGTTGTTAAGAAGTCATTGGGAATGGAGGAGAAAAGCTAATCCTAATAGTTTCTTTTAAAAAAATATAATCCATAAACAGTTTTTCTGCCATGGGAGGAATGTAACAGATAGCTTTGAAATACCAAACAAAGCCACTGAGTTTGTGCTTGTTTTAGTGTCGCTGGGCCGCCATTACGAAGTACCACAAACTGGGCTGTTGAAACCACAGGAATGTTTTGTCTCACAGTTCTAGAAGCTAGAGTCCAAATCAAGGTGTCAGTGGAACCATATGCCCCTGAAAATTGTAGAGGAGGCGGTACCCTTCCTTGCCTCTTCTCAGCTTCTGGTGGTAGCTGTCAGTCCTTGGTGTTCTTCAGTTTGTGATCACATTCCTCTAACCTGCCTCTGTTGCTGTTCCCTCTTTTAAGGATACCAGTCACATAGGATTGAGTCCACTTTACTCCGATAGGCCTCATCTTAATTTAGCTGATTACATTTGCAATTACTCTTTTTTCCAAATAAGGTCACATTCTGAGGTACTGGGGTTTAGGACTTCAACATATCTTTTTGTGGGAGGGACCACAATTTAGCCTATACTAGAGCAAAATACTGTTATAACACTGACTGGGAACTTTATGATTTTATTTAACAAATTAATTAAGTGCCAGGTATTACACTGAGTGCTGGGAACACAGGAGGAGCAAAACCAGGTATGGTTCCTGCCCTCATGGAACTTAAAGTTTAGCAGACAAAAATTCTAATATTCATCAGAATCACATGAATGAATGTGTGATCACAGATTAAGAAATGTAATGATAACATAGACACAGCTTAGTGAGGGCATTTCACAAGGAACTTGATCTGTTGATCTCTTGATCGGGA